GGGGAAGAATTCAAAATGTCGATGCGAGGCAACTTCACTCGCTGAGTGTTCACAACCTCTGGTGGGATGGGCCCAAGTGCAAGATGTTCTCGCCAGACTCCTTGAACTGATCTCCCGAACAGAAGCAGCAGCCCAGAAGTTATGTTACATAGCTTGGATGAGATGTCATTGTCCTTCTCTCTCCTCCGTTCATTGCTCCTGCCTCAGAGACGAGCTTCACCCCTCTCCGACAACTGCTGCAGATATTGACTATGAGGCTGCAGTCACTGAATGCCCGCATAGATCTGCGCTCAACTAATTTAACACAAGATAGGATAAAAACTACTTATGTATTAGGATATTTAATAATGAGTGCAAATAAATGGCGGCGAGGTGTGGCTATTGGGGGGCTGGGCCACTGTAAAAAAAAAAAAAAAAAAAAAGTAGCAGTAGTAGTAGTAGTAGTAGTAGTAGTAGTAGTAGTAGTATGTATTAGGATAGTTAATTTTAAGGTAATAAAATGGCGGTGAAGGTGTGGCTATTAGGAGGCCTCGTAGTAGTAGTAGTAGTAGTAGTAATTGTAGTATTCTCTTGTGTACTTCCTTCTCCACCTTCCTTTCGTCTTCCCTTCTCCTCTCTCCTTCTCCCCATCTCCTTATCTTCCCATTCCCTTGTTTTCTTCTTCCCATCTCCTCAGCTTTCCTTCCCTACCTCCTTCCCACCTCCCCCCTTCCCTACCACCCCCCCCCCTCCCCCAAAGGCACTAGAGGTCACCCTATAGTCTGCCCCGAGGTAGAGGCAGGTGGTGAACTAACACCTGGCCTACCAGCATCCCCTCTCTCTCTCTCTCCCTCTCTCCTTTCTCCTCATTGTTTCTCCTCCCCTCTCCCACCTCTCTCCTTAATTTTCTCCCCTCTCCACCTCTTTCCCCTCACCCCCCCCAACATCTCTCCCCACTTGACTATCTCCTTCTCTCCCTCACTACATAAAGTACATAAAATCAACACAATTCAACTTTTCCTTTCCCCACATTTCTTCATTCTCTCAATTTTCATTTCATTTCCTTCTCATTTATAACCCCCTCCTTCCCTCACCCCCCTCCCTCCCTCCTCTCACCCCTTCTCACCCCCCTAAGGAACTCCCATCTCAATGCCTCTTTCCTAGGGGTATAAATTCTGTGATATGAGGCAGTAAGAGGCAGGGATCCACACTATTGACAGCGGGAGACCCAAGGAGGCCAAGTCTGAAGCACCTACCCCAATGCACGCCTCAGATCTCTTTACTGATATAGAACAAGAAGGATCGAATCGTCTTTTTTTTTTCATAAGAGGGACAAAGAAAGGTTCCGATCGCATTGTGTGTGTTGTGTCCATCCGGTGGTATAGGTGGATGGTGTTGGAATCTCTTCTTGTTGTTTTTGCTGTAAGTTATAGGATCGAATCGGGGTTTTTTTTCATAAGAGGGACAAAGAAAGGTTCCGATCGCATTGTGTGTCCAATCGGTAGTAGAGGTGGATGGTGTTGGAGTTTCTTGTTGTTGTAGGTTATAGGATCCAATCGTCTTTGAACACTAAGTAAGATTAAATAAAGGGATCCAATCGGTAATATACATGTGTTGATATTACAATCCTCTCCAATCCTCACAGTATTAAACAACATCACCAATCGCCTATTTTTGCTATGAATACCAAAAAAGGAAGATTAAATCGTCTATAAAAACAAAATAGCATCAAACAATAGGATCAGAACTTCATCTAATCCTTTATTATTACTTTAAATAGATAGAATAAACTTTACATCGTCTATACACACAAACAGACATCAAACAAAAGAAGATCAGATTGCGCGGGAGTCTCACTGTTGGTATTAAGCGCCCAGTACAATCTCTAATGCCGTCTTGGCTAATGAAAGGTTTGAATCCTCTATAAACACCAAGTAGGATCAGACAAAAGGATCAGATACCTTGTGAGACCATGAGCCGCTATCAGAAGTTCATACAATCCTATATAGGGCATTGAGAGAAGGTTCCAATCGTATATAAACACAAAGGAGCATTGAACAAAGGGGATTAAGGGTTTAAGGGATTAGATCATGTTAGTCTATCTGGCAGGAAGGATATTAGTCATAGATTTATCGACAATCATTTGTTTTTGTGTTTGGTACGATAGAAGGGGGTTCGAATCCTCTTTGAACCCCGATTAGAACCCATTATAGGGGTTCTGATCGTTCTTGTCTCTCTGAAGGGAAATAAAGATTATAACAATATCTAATTTTTTTGTGGATAATAAAGAACGATTCGAATATATTTATAAACCCCCCAAAAATCTCAAAGGGGATCTAAGTCTCTTTAAAACCAAAAGAAACATAAAACATAAGATTCGATTCTCCTTAAACCCTAAAATAATCATTAAAATGTTTTCTATTGTAATTAAACCTTAAAAATAAGACCTTAAAACAAGTATAAACTTATTAAACATCCGAATAAAATTGAAAAGGGTTCGAATCTATTCAAAACACCATAACGAAACCTCTAGGGGTTCGAATCGCCTCTTAAGCCGCGTGAAGCTTCGACAAAGAGGATCAGATCTGATTGGGAAGAGCCATCTTTCGGCCGCTAGTGTGATTAGACAGGATTCCAATCACATATCATTCGAATCCTTTAGCATCGATTAGGATTTGGTGTCCGAATGTGAAAGTAAAGCATTGGATCACCTGAAGATTAGACCACCTCAGCTTATTTCACTTGATGGGATTAGGTTAGATTAGGTAAGGCTAGATTAGGTTAGGTTAGGTTAGGTGGTTACTCTTCACCTGATCCAAACTTTTAAAATAAAGTCGATTTACTCATAAATAAATCAATCAATAAATAAAAACTTTCAGCAATAAAAAAAATAAAAAAATAAATCACCAAAATTAACTAAGTTTCCCCTTAAAACAAAATTTCAACAAAAAACGAAGGTAATATTTCAGTCAATAGAAAATGATTATAGCAAGACGAATCAAGTATCACTCAAAACATCTTCGAGGTCGAACTCCATGCAGGTGATTACAGCTTCCAGAGAGGCTGCTAACGACCGGAAATGGTGGTGATGGTGGTTGGGGATAGTGGTGATGCTGGTAGTCCACCCATCTGTCTGTCTGTCTGTCTATTTGCAGCTGTTGTGTGAATGTCGTCCTTCACCCCCTTCCCTCCCTCCCTCCCTCCTCCCTCTCTCTCTCCCTCCCTCCCTTCTCCCTCCCCCCTTCCCTCCCTCTTCTTCCTTTACTACTACTACTACTACTACTACTACTACTACTACTACTACCATCACTTTTACCTTTACCCAAACTATACACCAACAGTAG